ACATAATTTCCCGGTTCATCTGGTAACGTGATTCGGTGGTGGCGGCGGTGGTGATCAGAGGTGGCGGTCAAAGGGTGTGAAAATCGAGCGGGGCCCGCAGCATTAACACCACCAAGTAAAGGTTGCTGGTGTTCGTGGTCCATTAATCAGTGGTTTTTGCGTTTTGGGCGGTGGTGAAGACCGGTGGAGGGACTTAAGACGGACGAAGAAGGGGAAATGGCGGCACACTATGGTGGCGGGACCCCTAATGAAACACTATATAGAATTGAGTTGGAATGAGGAGTTGTTGAATTATTATCATTCATTGATTGAGATTTGAAAATAAATGAGTTGCTCCAAGGAGTTTTAAAACAATAGTAATTCAACTTTTTACTTATATGTTTATATGTAAAAAAGGTAATTTTTTAAAGTAAATGTTACTTTTTAAAAACATATAGTCAAAAAAGATAACGTTTAGAAAAAAACATATGAAATTAAGCGTTTAGAGCCCGTTTGGTGCACATTAAAATGAGATAATGTATTTTTTTGAAGTGATGTGATGGGGAATATGTAGTCGAAAAAGAAAAAAAAGTTATTGATGTGATGGAAAATATTATTTTGTTGAAAAATATGTGGTTGGAAATGAGTAGAAGAATGAGAATAAAAAAAATAACGTGGATCAAACAGAGCAGCTTTTACTTGCCCGTTTATACGTAAAAATGTAAATTTAAAAGTAAACGTTACTTTTTAAAAACATAGTCAAACAAGACAACGTTTAGAATCCCTGTTTAAACCACATTAAAATTTTCATTATCATTCTCGTATGGATAATGCTACGAGTACCGAAAATTTTTCACAGATCTCCTATAGAATTTTAAAAAATCTGATGTGTCACTGAAATTTTCATTATTTCCTGACACTGGACAGTCACTAATCCGCCCCTTTACCCACCCACGCAACACAGCCAACCCCTTCCCCTTTTTTCCTTACTTTATTGTCTCAAATTTCAAAATTATTACATGAATGTTTAACGAAGTCGAAATATTACATTATTAACATCATTTCAAAGTAATCACGACCTACTTTATCGCATTCTTAACCGAGTGCGAAACGGCCAACCGTAGCAAAAATTATCATGCGTCAAGATAGACCGTTCCAAAATATATAAATATTTTTTTCTTATTTTTATCTCAATTTTCGAGATTATCACGGGATGTCAAACGAAATCGAAATCTCGTCTTTTTAACATCATTTCGAAGTACTCACGGCCTAGTTTATCGCATTCTTAACCACGTGCGAAACGGCCAACCGTAGCAAAAGTAACCACTCGTCGAAATAGGC